GCGAGGCATCCAAGGCATACAAGTTATTCAATCCATTCACAAAGAAGGTTGTGACCAGCATAGATGTAGTTTTTGATGAGGAGAACACTTGGGATTGGAATATACATCAATCTACTCCTATATTAATTAATAATGAAGTCGAAGAAGCAGTTGCAACACCCAAAATTTCTGATATTACTGAAATTTCTACTGAAGCAGTTGATGAAATTTCACCACCAGTTTTGGAAGAAATTGATGCACCTGATCAGCCTCTTCGTCGTGCTCGCAGAAGGCCCGCATGGATGATGGACTATAAGGTAACAGGAATTCATGTTAATGAAGATGTTTCCAACTTTGCATTGTTTGTAGATTGCGATCCTACAACCTTTGAGAATGCCGTCAAAGAGGGAAAATGGAGGAAAGCTATGGATGATGAGATTGATGCTATTGAAAGAAATAGCACCTGGGAGTTATCAGATCTTCCAAACGGGCACAAAACCATAGGTGTCAAGTGGGTCTATAAGACAAAACTCAAAGAAAATGGTGAAATAGACAAGTATAAGGCGTGATTGGTGGCTAAGGGATACACGCAGGAACATGGTGTAGACTACACAGAAGTCTTTGTTCCAATTGCAAGGCATGACACCATCAGAATGATAATTGTTGTGGTGGCACAAAATTTGTGGCCTATCTTTCAGTTGGATGTCAAATCAGCTTTCCAAAAAGGATACTTGGAGGAAGAGGTATTTATCGAGCAACCTTCTGGTTACATAAAAATTGGAGATGAGCATAAGGTATACAAGTTGAAAAAGGATCTTTACGGACTAAAACAAGCTCCACGAGCTTGGTATCATCGCATTGAGGCTTACTTTCTAAAATTTGGTGTCCAGAAATGTCCATATGAACAGTCTCTCTTTGTTAAAATTGGAGAATCTGAAAAAATGCTCATAGTGTGTTTATATGTTGATGATCTTATATTTACTGGGAATGATAATATCATGTTATCTGATTTGAAGAGATCTATGATGGATGAACTCGAGATGTTTGATCTTGGTAAGATGCGTTATTTTCTTGGTTTAGAAGTAGTGCAATCTGTTGATGGGATATTTGTTTCCCAAAAGAAATACATGTGGGAAATTTTAGATCGATTCAAGATGAAGAATCGCAATCCCGTCGATAATCCAGTTGAGTTTGGTTTGAAGCTAAACTAAGTTGGAAGAGGAGATATGGTAGACAACGCTCTACAGGCAAATTTTAGGTAGTTTGATGTATCTTACTGCTACAAGACCTGACATCATGTATGTTGTAAGTCTTATAAGCAGGTATATGGAGAGTCCGACAGAAATTCACTTGCTAGCTGCCAAGAGGATCCTTCGCTACTTACAAGGAACTAAGGATTTTGGTTTGTTCTACAAGAAGGGTGAAAAATCTGATTTGATTGATTTTGCTGACAGCGACTATGCAGGAGATCAAGACGCAGAAAGAGTACTTCAGGCTATGTTTATTTACTAGGCACAACGGTTGTTGCATGGTCTTCCAGGAAGCAAAAAATTGTCACTTTATCTAGTACTAAAGCAGAATTTGTTGTTGCTACAGCTTGTGCTTGTCAAGCTGTTTGGTTGAGGAGGATTCTTGAAGAACTACAATTCAAACAAGAAAAAGCAACTACAATTTTCTGTGACAATAACTCTTCCATTAAGCTATCAAAAAATCTTGTTTTACATAGAAGAAGCAAGCACATTGATGTGAAGTATTATTTCTTGCGAAATCTCAATAGTGAAGGAACAATAGAGTTGCAGTACTGCCGAAGTGAAGATCAGTTGGCGGACATTTTTACTAAACCTCTCAGGTTTCTCACTTTCCAGAATCTGAGGAGGTTGATGGGTATCGGCACTATGGAAGAGCTCAAGAAGCTGAAGTTAAACTGAAGCTTGAAAGCTTTCAGTTTAAGGGAGGGTGTTAGTTTTAATAAGTTATGTTAGGAATAAAATATCTATCGTTATGTTTTTCCTAGTCTTTAGGAAGAAGTTTAAATGTGGGTTGTTGTCAAGTTTTTAGGAGAAAATCTTGGAGTAGTGGTTCCTAATTTTTAGCTTCAGTTTTTCTGCAATGTATCTGTTTTATAAAAGGACTATTGCAGGCAGCGTAATAAAGTAGTCAAAAAATTTCTTTTTCACATACTGCCTCTGCTCTACTCCATCTATTTTATGTTCTTTTTCTTCTATCAAGGGGCCTATATTCAAACCTCAGAGCATGATAGTAGGTGCATTCTTGTATTTTTTTTCCAGATTATGAGTTCATGTTGTTGTGAACTTCCCATTAGTTACCCCTATAACAGAGAGCCAAATAATATTTAGGAGCGAATGTTATGTATGGTGACACCACTAAATTATATCAAGTTGTTAGTGTAGACTATTTGAGTAAATATACCTCCGTCAGCATTCACCTCTGATATAGCTATATGTTTAATAGATTTTTTTCCGCTTCTTCACGTGCGGCTCATAAGCGTGCCCATCTTCTATTTGATTTGTTGATGCCATAAACTTTTCAACCCTTCGCAAGGTCCTATCTACATCCGATAGTATTTTGCGCTTGACCCCTGGTGCCAATGTGACATGATGATGTTAAAATTGTAGTATCTTTAGTTGATTTGTAAGTTTGATTTTGACGTTAAACAAACATTTTGGTAAGCATACCTCTTGTTTTGGGATGCTGATTCTGTTGCACTTCCATTTTTAATTGAATTGCCTTCGAGATAATGGTCTCCTGTATGACATTTTGTGAATGTAAAAATTCATTAGTTGAAATTTTGATAGTGTGTGATTATGTAGCACCAAGTTAATTATGTTATGTGTTAAGCCAATATTACCTACCAGAGCAGAATTGGTGGAGGGCGTATAAGTTGTGTAGTTGTCATATTTTATATATGATACAGTAAATTGTTTATGTAAGATGATAGGGGTAATATAATTCGAATAGCGAAGCAACTAAATCCTATATGAAACAATAGAAACAATATTTGCACAATGTGTTGTCTGGCCTCCTATAGATTACTTAGGTTCAGGTCATATGTTCGAAATATCTGCGTATATAATTATCCGGTGAAACTAATAATTGCATTCTCTATTCCCTACAACCTGAATGGCTTTTAATCTTGTATTACATCTCCTTGCGGCATTTTTTTGTTGGAATGTTCTATGTTTATGTCTTATCATTTAGGATGGTTTGTGGGGTGGCCAAGGGACTAATGAGACAACTGTATGCCAGATTTGCGCTAATCAAGCGATGTCTATCATATGTATAATTGGGATCAGTATGGACTCTGCCATATTACTTTTGAAGCCGTGAACTTAGGGATGGAAATGTATGTTTTACCCCATTATATGATAGAGGTACAAATGGAAGACGAAGCCATTGTTTTACTGTCACCATGTGTTTTTATATTTTGTATTATTATGAGAGGCATATGCATATGCCATTACTGGATGTAGTTCAAAGGGTAGGATAATCGATCTGTTTATGAATATGTTAAGAGAATTAAGGGAAACCTACAATTTGTAACTCGCAGTGCGTGATGTCATTGTGTAAAGTTTTTAGTCTAGCGGTTGTTATCTAATATGAAACCATAACGGAGGAGTGCAAGGGGTAGGATAATCTACCTGTTTATGAATGTTTTAGGAGAATTAAGGGAAACTTACAATTTGTAATTCGCAGTGCATGATGTTGTTGTGTAAAGTTTTTAGTCTAGCGGGTGTTATTTAATATGAAAGCATAACAGAGGAGTGCACAAATTGATCCTGCGGACGGTTTGGTAAATGAATGTGTCACTGTTTTTCAATCTTTTGTTATTTTGAACTGATGGAAGTATGGAATGTGACGACTACAATATACTGGAGGATCGTGAAGATCTAGATGAAGGCATAAAATTTCGTGAGTTCTTTTTGTCAGGTGGTGCAGTGACGTAGTGTTTTTATCAGGGGTTTGACGAAGTGGTTGCAACGATTGAGGAGGCAACTTTTGGTGTGCAACGCAAAGGAATTTGAAGGTTGCGATGGTTTAGAGAAGGCGCGTCTGTTGGTTGATGACTTTTGGTGTGCAGCACAAAGCAACCAGAAAGTTGTGAAGGTTTAGAGAAGGCGCATTTGTTGGTTGATGTGTTGCTTGCCCCTGTCGGCTGGTTTAGTAACGGTAATGTTCTGGTTAAGCAGGATTCAAGACTTTCAGTATATGGGCCTTTCGTGGAAATCTGGAATGTGATATAAGATACTATTTTTACTATTACGTAATTCTAATTGCTTCTTAGCAATTAAAGTGGGAGCTAATAGCTATTAAGGTCACGCAACTTTAGTAATTTATCTAGCAAAATTATTAAACTTAGTTTTTTATTAATAAAATCAGTCAACGTAAGCTTTTATATCCATAAAATCAGTCTATTTAATTTATCAAGAAATTACTTTATTTTAAATAGCATAGTCACGATTTAACAAATGAACAACTAACTGTAAAGATCAATTGCATTATAAGATTATATTTTAAATAAAAATTTAGCAAACCGTAACATTAATGAAGTAGTAGTCATTGATCAATTGAAAATCATTAATTCATCTTACTTTGTGTATTGAAAATGATATCATAATGGGATACTGATTTTGACCTATTTCTTTATTATTATATCATGATATACAAAGTAATTATGTGATTTGTAATAATAATTTGTTGATTTTATTGTCCTAAAGATGTAAGTTTAGTGATTTTCTTGATATAGAGCATTGGTTATTGACTCGTCAAGTAATAGTTCTATTTAAGTGCGGCCAAGCAATAATAAGTTTGTTTCTAATTTGTCGTTACCCCGTAAAATTGTACCCCTGGGTAAAGTTGGTGTACTTGTAAAAGTAATATCCAACAGAGGAAATATAGACATCTAACAAATATGAATTCACACATAAATAGGTAATAAGATACACTCATTGGTTATACAGTAGAAGCCACACATTGTTTAGTTACATAATTCAGAAAGATGTCTAATTTTTATCGGCTTTGGGTTTCTTTAGGTTGATTTGGGCGGCTACATTTGTGGTTTTCTTAGCCCTCCTTATGTACTTCCTCACTGATTTTACTTCTTTTTCCACAATAATTGGTGCTTCATCTTCCACTTGATGTATTTGTTCAGAAATTAAGCTCCTTCGGGGGTTTGAATCAGTCAAATCAATTCTGACAAGGAAGTTGAATTGCTTGTCTTTACTCAACACCAATTTGCGGTAGTTGTGACATTCTTCCTTCTTGATATGATGTAAACAATTGAATATGTTCGTTGGAAGGTTGCCAGTAAGGTACACATGAGACTATGTAAATATGGCGTGGCATTTAGTCAACTCTATAAATAAAGTTGATACCTTTACTAAGGTTGATTGTATGTACTCTTGCACATTGAAGCCTAGTAAATATTTAGCCGCTTCAAAAAGTATGACTCGAGCACGTTGTTTTCCACCACACACTTCAAGTCGTAAGCAGTATCTTCAAAATAGAGGTAAGAATTCAATATGTCAAGTTTATGTGTTTTGTAAGGAGTAAATGTTTAATGGAGTTTTAACCGAGTCGAACCTCATTTCATATTCTACATTATCAACGTTGCAATTGGTACAAGCTGCAACCTCTTCTATAACTTTCACTTTCTTGTGGCACGTTTTGCATGACAAATACCATGGCTCATCTTTATTGAGTATGTCTATAATTGTTGTTTTGAACTTGTACATACAATCCTGCAAAGCGCCAATATACCATATTTGTGAAATGTTAAACATACAAATGAATTTTATTTATAGAGGGGTGGAGTATCGGTTAGTATGTACCTGTTAATCAGCCAACAACCCATCGAGAATATGGACCAACGAACTTCTATATCTCTTCTCATTACCTTACTTGGTGTTACCGTAATATTTTTGTTGTCGGCCTTTATGATTTCTCGTTTGTATTTACAATGAGGTTAGTTAACGGTGTAAGCCATTTAGAGTGAGGTGTGTTTAGTGCATAGGTTTTTTGGATTTATGGTGATATGTAATTGCATAACAATGATAATAGAGGAATTATGTCGTCTTATAGCAATGTTCGATTTAACTTGGCTACAATGGCAAAGTGTAGTTTGAATATTAGTTTTGAAAGTTGGGTTAAAGTAAGAGTGTTGAACAAATTTGTGAATAATGTAATGTACCAGTCTCGAAGGTCGGTTGTTTTTTCAAACATTTGATTAATTAAGACGTTGCTCACAGGAATAGTAGAGATTCCAAATCGGCCTAGAATGAGAAAAGCATGTTAATGTTAACAAACAAGAGCTATAGTCAGTGTCTATTCGATAAACACCTAGAATATAGACTGTTGGATACCTTTATAGATTGAGACTCTAACGTCACATAAGCCGAGTATAGATTTATCATCTTTAAGATTTTTCAGGAATGCACCGTCATTTTCAGTAAAATCTCCCCAAAGAGTTACACTTGTATGCTCCATCCTAGATTATCAGTTAGGAGTGAAAAGTCAGCATACCACCATATCTCTATATAGATGATAGATTATGAATCATCGCAACTTACAACTCATTTGTAACAACTATTTCCCGTCTCTTAAAAGTCGCATTTTGAATGAGGGGATTCACCGAAACTAAGACGCAAATCAAGTCTGGAAATAGCTCATGTAAATTAGTGATAACACTTACGTAATGGAGCATGAAAATAACAACTTTGATGTTTGGATAGTTACCTAGAATAGCACCATTAGGTAATTTATTAGCATTATCTAATGATGAAAAGCCATCAGAGAATTTCTGTGTTGAAACCTCATGGTCAGTCTCCTTTATGATTGTGTTGTTTGTAAAGGCCAATTCAACTTCTTTATGCACAGAAGAGTAGTTGGGGTTGACACGATCTAAGCGTCCGTTAGCAATGTAGTAACTCTTATTTGGCTTCAAGGAGTCCTTCCATGTTTCGATATGCTTATTAAATAGCATTGCTTGAATCTTTGTCCCCTATTATTAAGCAGGGGGTGGCATAAGTACAACAAACATGAACAATAGTATGATAACGTAAGTAAAAGTGTCAATGTTGTTACCTCTTCATCCACTAATATGATAGTTCTGAAAGACCCTTCATGTCTTGAATTCTTGTAAGGTGTTATTGAACCCTTTTGAATAACTAAGACTCTAATCACAAAATTAACACAGCTCTTTGGTATCTTGTTTATTGGTACACTCTGTTTTGCTAGTTCAGATTCAGTCGCCATGTGGGTTGAATCTCGATGATTGCAGGTACCTGAGGAGATGAGTGCAACAATGTTATTTCTTTTTTTTTCATAATTGGCAGGAAATTGTATGTAACCAGATGAACGAACAATCGGCGTTGTAGGCAGGGGCGAATCTAAGGGTACGGGTGGGGGTGTCATGGCACCCAGTGATTTCGGAAAAATCTTTGTATATATATGTATATATGTATCAAAAATTAATATATATTAACTTTGCCACCCACTGAACAAAGTGATGAATGGTTCAAGTGGCGAAGGGTATGATATGCCATACATGCAATGTGAGTTCAAATCTCGTTGCTAGCATTATTTTTTTGTGCGCGCAGTGAAGCTTTTTTTTTCTTTTCTTTTTTGTCTTTTTTTTATTAATGTGTGAAGGGCTTTAGTTTTTTTTTTTCCATTCATTCTTATTTATTTACGATACTTTATTAATTCAAATTGACTCCTTTTCACCGTATTTAATTCTCATTTTTGTTTAACTTTCACTAATTATTGATATATATTATTAAGAATGTATTTAAATAGTAGTTTTTAAAAAATATAAGTTTTAAAAATGATGAATATTATTACTAGAGTTCTTTCAATTTAAAGGTTCTTTCGATCTTCACCGACATTCTTGCTAAGTAAGATGACTAGGTTGAAACTACAATTTTATTCTCTCTACTATATATCTGCAACAACACATAAAGTCAATGGAATATGAATATATTCAGTTAACACTATAAGATGGTTTATACAAGCTCAAATTTTAATGTGAAAAAAATTCTTTTTTCCTCAAAGTCTAAGTGAATAAGGCCTTTAATCCTAAAAAAAAATTGAATTGTTTAGTCATCTCTAATCACAGAATATCTAAAAGAAAATATTACTAACATGCATGTTTGATCGATTTGTTTATAAAAATTGAAAAGGATAATAACCCGAATTGTAACCCAAAATTAAAACAATCAACCCGTTTATCTAACTTGAACGATGTGGCACCCAAGACCTCCAAATCCTAGATCTGCCTCTGGTTGTAGGTATGTGAGTCAGAGTTGGGGTGAATGTGATGCATAACAAAGGATAGCAATAAGGTGTAAGCAGTGCAACTGTAAGGTTAGAAGTAACACACACACACATATATACATATATATATATATATATATGAAATTTGTAGTTATAAAGGGCAGGTGACTATAGATACGTATGCCAACAAATAGCAGACAATGTTATTGTTGCCGCAAGGGGAAGGAACAAAGTGAAGGATTCCATCTAGAATGTGTTTCATATTGCGTTCTTCCGGACTTAAAATTTTTAAACTACTAAGGGAATGTCATATAGAAGGTAATAACTTACAACTTGTTAAATGGCAGAGCAGATGCAAAGAAGTTGTGTTTGCGAGTATTATGCGTGCAGGGAAAACAATTAATTTGGTGAAAGAAAAGGTAAGATGTATTAAGGCAGTATTGTGGATGAGAGGGTGTGTCATTTGCATACCTGTGTGTAAATTGTAATTGATGTGTGTTTGATGGGGATAAGCATTACAATTTCAGAGTTATAAATAGTCGGAAGCGGTGGGTGCGACTGTTTGAGTTTGCTGGAATGAGGTGTTTCTTCATTGCAGAGGCTGTAGAAGTGGTGTCGTTTCCGAATGGGTGTATTTAGCGGCCGAAGAGGTATGTTCAAAGTGTAACAGGGGGAAGTGGCAGTTTGTGCAAATGGGTGTATCTAACGCAGGGTGTTGTAAGGTGGAATAGGGGTAATTTAGTATTTTAACATTTAAGTTAGGAGTTGATGCTTTTAAAGTACCTAGTTTCTGGTAACGTACATTGCATGTTTGTTCTTTATTATTATGATAATAAATTTTCTTATCTATAATAGTTTTGAGTTATAAAATAGAAATATTGGTGGAGGCATGAATGATTTGTTTTTTATTTGAGAATTGGTAACATGTCAGGGGTGAAAATTGTTAACCACTAACTAATAATCTCTTTTACTGCTTATATGTTATATTCGAATTCAATTTCTATTATATGTTTTTCTCTTTAAGATTGTTATTCCTTTCCCATATTTAGAAAGATAAATTTTAATGTTGTACATATTTGACTTTTAAGTACTCCTTCATATTAAATTAAATTACTTCATTTGTTAGAATATGTCTTCTTTAGACATTTCTTTTGCTCGATGTTGTTGAGGGAGAAGCATCAATTATCCTTTTTACCTTGAAAGCTAGGAGACTAAACCAAAATATAATTTCAATAAGTCATTGTCAAACTAAAGCTATCAAGGAGGCTCTACTTTGTAAAATACACATGCATTAAGTTATTAAAATCAAATTAAAAACACAATACTCAAATGTTAATCAAATTTATTAAAATTACTCATGCAAAAATTGCGAAATTGTTGGAGAGACATGCCACATACCTCATTTGTGTTGGCGCAATTTCTACTAAAAGTTCTATTCAACGGTCAGCAAAAGCATCACCTCTGGTTTATACATGAGATTAAAAAATTACATCATAAGCTCATAAAACAAAATTTTAGCAGTATATTTTCATGTGAGATCAAACACTTAAATATCAATTTAAGAATATAATTCGAATGATAGCAAAAAATAAAATAGATGTAAAGAAATGCTTGAAAGAACATATCATAAGAGTTTTATGCTCTCTAAACCAAATTCAAATGTACATTATTGTCATTAGAAGACAACGCGTAAGAGACTTAATAGGTATAGTGATTTTTTGAAGAGTTAAAAAGTCATTCAACTTTAATGGTGATTTCTTGAAGAGTTATAAAGTCATTCAACTTTAATGGATTCATACTTATAGTATAATTAATTAATTAATTAATATTAATATTAATAATAATATGATAATGATAATTAAAAATTTGAAGGGCATTTTCGTAATCCAACTTTAGACTAAGAACCTTCCCACTTATAATATAATATATGATATATGATATGATATAGATATGATATGATTATACATATGTTTTCCTTGAAAAATCAAGTGATTATTTTTATGTTTGACGTGGGTTGTTTAGCGGTGATTGGTTAGAGTTAATCCGAGTTTTTTTTTTACTTCTAAATTATAAAAGTTAATAAATAGATTTTGCCGATGGTCACCGGAATGTTGGTGATGTAATATAGATGGCTGGCGTGAAAAGGCCCTATCCGTTCTCTCCAGAATACCCGCCTCTCCCTTCATTTCGATGCAAAAAGTGTTGTGTTGCCCCTGTATCCAGATCAAACGAATCCACTTCCTGCAGCAACAAGTGCTCAGTCAATGTAGAAGAGGGAAATGTGCTTAAAAGGTTCTATCTCTTACCTGGAAAATTGCTTAGTTCTATTACTCGAGAGACTAATATTTAGTCATTTGGCATTTTTACAGAGAAGTTATCTCAAAGTCAAAAGCTCTCAATGGAGATTTTCTCAGATTAGCTCCTCCAGCAGCAGCTTTCTCACATTCTTTAACTGATTCAGCCCCACAATGCCTTCAGCTATTCGACTATGTTCCCTCTCGGGTGAGACTAAAGGACTTAAGCATTTATACTCTTGTTCATGTACTCTGCCTTTTGATCTCGGTTTCACTACCTTCCTAGCGTGGTTAATCCACAGGTAGCTGCTGCAGAGCATACACGTCCTTCTGGTCTAAGCATACCAGTTCAAGAACCCATCCTCGAATTCATCCAATCTTCAAAGGCGCAAATTGTGTTGGGGTTATGAAGGGTGATTAGGGCGTCATGCGGAAGCTTACAATTGCAAATAATATGGTTGATAAATTAGACGACACATAAAACTATACTATAAGATATAATATTATTATTCGATATGACTAATTGGCCTACGTAATTAAAAACTAATAAAAAACATAAAAATTGTAGAGAGAAAATCTCCCCATAAACAAAACTCTCTAAATAACTATATTGTGGATTCTATTGTTGATTTTGATATGAGAAGAGGGGTCTTCAATTTATAGAGTTCCAAACTTTTCTTCCAAGGAAAGAATAATTCAAATATGGAAGAATATTATATTTTCCTTTCCGGAAAAATTCAAGCATTTATGGTAACACTTTGATTTTTTCTTTAAGGAAAAAAATAAACTTCAAATAAGGTAAGAAAATCAGGGCAAAACCCTAACAGATTGATCGAGAAGGAACTCATGGAAGTGACTTTCATAGTGAAGTAGAAGGAAATGTTGATTTGGAACTGAAGTTATAGAAGTTTGTCAATGCCATATGTTTGTGACGTCCTGGTGTGTAAGGCTCACGTTAGAGGTGTGTGTGTGCAGGGATTTAATACTTTTACATAATAGAGAACGTTGTTTCGAGTGATTGTCCTACCATTTATAGGGATAGTTTGTAGATAAAACTTCATATGCATATTGTTGCATGAAAAACATTGTGAAAATGTGAATCACAGAAGAGAGGTTTTCATTAGCCTCGAGGCTCCGCTTATTAGTTGAGTTTTTTTTAATTTTTCAGTTGTTATAATCAATGATTTTGACAAAAATGGAGATTTGGGTTCTGCTTGATCTTGCTTGATTCATGTAGTGAGGCTGTGTTGCAATTTTTGGACCTAAATGTTTATCATGAATTGTGTGACCATCTCATCTAAAAGTACAAATCATTAAAGAAAACACACCGTCTAATTACTGAATTATGTCTTCAACACGCCCTCTCACGTGCAGACCTGATTCCTTTTTATGGATCAAGCAAATGAAAAATATATTTGAGAATTGGTGGTGGCTAGTGAGACTCGACTCCAAGACCTCTATCTGTTGTGGTGCAATATCGAATTATGTGGTCACCTCATCTACAAGCTTAAGCTGTTAGAGAGATCATAGCACACTTCTAATCTCTTGATTGCGTCTTTAAGATGTTGATTCCCTTGGTATCTTCCTTTGTTTACTTCGTTAACTATTAAATCCCCTTAATGAAAATCATGACTCTTTCGTTGGGTTATGTCACTCATTAACGCAGTTTGATAGTTAACAATAATT